GTTCTGTACGTTATAATCATGCAGCAAAATAAACTATTAAGGTAACATCTTTGTAATACTTGGTTTATTTACATAATAAATTTAATTGCTGGATGTCCAGCCCTTAACCTGTTTACCTGTAGTAACTGTGGCCCCCGGAGCAGTTTAGTTGAATAGCCCTGCRTTAATGTCTTTACTGAGGGTCTCATCCCATATGACTTGGTGGTCRAGTCCCCCTAGTGGTCTTGTGCACATCTGTTTTGTGTACTTCTTACATGCAGCTACTGTTTTGCAGTTCTGTATATGCAACATTTTATCTTTGCTTTTGTTCTGTTGTGTTTTGCATCATTCATGTTTGCAGCACGATTAGACGCTTGTGACAGTTTTGCACTTCAGCCACCGTAAAAATATGTCCTGAACTCAGGATGCCTAACCATTTGTTGACATATCAGAATCTTGACCCCCTCTCATACCTTTTGTCCGGTTGTTCCAGTACTTCCGTTCCCACTGATCGAGCAGGATGTTGTAGTATCTGTGACACTTGAAGAAGCGAAGGTAGCGTGACGACGACTGCGATGGGAAAATGCGCTCAAACTCTCCTCGGCGATTCAGCTCGTCCTCGCTCTCTGCCAGCACACAAACGTCCTCTGGAGTCAGAACATCCAGCACCGAGGAGAGGAACTCCTGACAGAGAAAGGATGAAAGAAACAAGACAAGACTGACTCTTGCTCTTCACTTTTATGTTCCACTTTAAACAAAAAACTAGTTTACTGAATCTGTATGTTTTACCTGGTCAGCATAACGCTGTGTGATGTAAAAAGCATGCTTGACTTTTTCATCAGCACACAGGTGAGCTCTGGTCCTTTTATTGCTCCCTCCCCACAAACTACACACACAAACAAGCTGGGGTTAGAATACATTAAAAAAGCACTTTAAGAAATGCTACAGAAATTATATTTTAGGTACTAGGTGAAAGTGTTTTTGTTAATTGTACATTAAGTATGCTGAAAATTTAGTAAACATAGTTAAAAACAAAGCTGTTGGGTCACTAAAAGTTAAAGTAGAAGGTAGCAAAAAGCTAAACTAAAACTAGCAAAGTCTAGCTGACTAGAACTAAAAGTAGCACAACATTAGCTAAAAGTAGCAAAAAAGTAGCTGAAAGTCAAAAGTAGCAACATGCCAGCTGAAAGTAAAGGCAGCATAAACTTAAAAAGTAATACAGGATGGTAAATAGAGAGTTTTATCTGATTTTAAATTCTACCATGATTTTRAAGAAGTTAAACATCATCTCAGGRTGTTTACTYGTCAAACATACTTATAGTAAAACATTTTATAAAACAAGAGTTTTAGCAACCAAAAATCAAAGCACTCATCTCCTGACTGGCCTGAACTTTTTGATTATTGAATGACCAAAAAAAGCAAAATATGTTAGAAGTAGTGAGATTGAAAAAAATGCACCAAAAAAGTGAAAACAGTGCTGACTCAGCATTCACATTATTAGTTTTCACTTCAGCCACAGGAGCCCAGTGGCAGCAGCTGAGGTGCAGCACCACCTCTTTACCTGCTGGTTGAGCTGGAGGAACTGCTGCTGAAGGACATCTCTTCTCTCAMAGGAACCCTGAAGCCGGCCAGGTTCAGCAGATCTCTGATCATCTGACCTTTGATGGAAACGTCCAGTGCCGAGTTGGAATGGAGGCTGGAGGAGAGATAACAGTTCAATCAGGGTTTCTGCAGGTTTCATCAACTCAAATTTAAGACTTTTTAAGACGTTTTTTAAGACCAGTATGAATCAAATTTAAGACCTATTTGCGACATATGTACACGACAGAAATGTAGAAATACAGAATTACTAAATTACCTGCAAAGTAAGTTTACTCAAAAAACTAAATGATGAATGAACACATTTTACATGCAGTGTTGTTGATAACGGAGAAGAAAAACATTTAGCCATGAGGTTGTAGATGCTTGTATGTGGACTACATTGTATTCTGTCTTAATTAGACTGGGACACGGGCCTAATTATATTTATTCATTCATTAAAACAAAGAAAATATCTAATTATGATAAAAATGCTATAAATGAAATTAAAAGAAGCAAAAAAAAAAACAACAACATCTAATTATGTCTGCTCGCTTTTTTTCCCCAAAAAGCTAAATTCTAACAAAATCAAGAGRGTCCTCAAACAACAATTTATGTCAACACACACATTTATTCTCCCATTTCCCTAAAAGAATTGTCCCAAGGGATCAAAAGGTGTATTTATTTTTAATATATTGTTTGTCTTTACCACTAATAAATATGCAAGAAAATCTAATATAATTTGGCAATTCCCAACACTACCGTATTTATTCATGTATAATACGATCTCATGTATAATACGATTTCATGTATAATATGACCCCCCACATTTTTGAGCTTAAAAAGCATAAAAAAATTTAATCCTCAAACTACCTCCAATTTCATACAGACTTTTCTTTGCAGTCTTTATACATATCAGTAAAATGATCATTGGACTGTTCATTTTATTTTAACAACATATGTACTAAAAGGTATTTTGACAATTTTTTTCTTTTTCTTTTTCCACTTCATGTCGCCTGCCTGGATCTGTTATTATCTCGCTCTGAAGCAYGAAGGAGTGTCAGAAGTAAGCTCGCATCAACTGCTTTTTACGTTGTGGTCTCACTTCCAGACTCAGGCTTATTGTGAATGAGCCGATATTTCAGTTAAAATACATAAGTAAAAATATATATCCCGAGTATAGTACAACCCACCAACTTTATGGATGATTTTATGGATTAAATTTTACTCATTTTACTTGAATAAATACGGTATATAAGTTAGTATATGTTATAATAATACTACTATACTTATAAAACACATTCCAGCTGTTTGGTTTTGGTGGTTCGATTCAGGCTTTCATCGAACAGGAGCACGAACGATCCAGTCACTTTTGAACTTTTGAATTAGTTCTCTTTTTATAAAATCTGCTAGTCCAAATTGGGTAATTTATACAGTTTTATATTTTCCACACTTGAATGACTTGGCCATGTTTGAGTCTGGAAACACGGTTTGAAACAAGTCTCCGATATCTTCATTTGTGCTGTATGACTGACGTTTAGTTATCACATAGAGAATCCAGAGAACCTCCACTCGTAATATAGCCTCCGACCCGAAGACAACACGAAGGTCGCTAACAGGAGTTGCTGAGCCGTTGTCTCTCTGAGGCAGAGTGGATGAACCAGTGCTCGTGCTGGAACCAGAGCCAGAGCATCAGAACTGGCTAATAGCGGTCGTCTGTGAATTGAGACACAGCGCTAAAGTGCTTATCACTTTTTGAATGCC